ATTATGCTGTTGACATCAATCCTTGAAATCAGAAAAGGAAATTGATGGTTCAGTTCATTTCATTTCATTTTATTCGGCATTACATTAAATTATACAGAAGTACAAAAATATAGGCCTATCAAAATACAAAAATACAATAGCGAAAAATGTCAAAACGTATACATACTATTAATAACCTGGCGACGTTCTTCGGCACTTGCCTCGCTGTCTTGCTGTGTTAGATTCGCTATGAGATCCTCGAACTTCCCTAGTTTTACTTTAAAAGTGTTACTTGTGTAAGGTCGGTGTAAACCCGACGTATAATCCTTGTCCACTGGATTCATCATTCATTTCTAAGCAATTCCAGTGAGTGTCTTTGTAGAGCAGCGATAAACTTGAATAACAACTGCCTAGAAATGAAAACCCATTAGATTACGATCGACCTACCACTGTCAGCTATTTATATAGGCATATTGAGAAAAATACAGCAATAGGCCTAGTATGCTGTAGTGTAATGTATACAACTATTCAACCGCACGACCTCTCACAGCGTTTGCCGCAAGAATAAAATCCTACTGGTGGTATACTTTGTCGCCTTGGCAACAAATAATGCAGTGCTTTTCACACTTCAAGTCGCATTGTGTTATGAAGGACCGCTTTGAGCCCGTCCGCTCGGCTCGATCAACTTGTAAACTGAAACCGCATTGAAATGTAATTGAATTATGTGAATAGGGTTCAAATATTTATAGTGTTATGCTAAATGACAGAGTTCACGAGAATTCAGCTGGCGGAATTTTGAAAATCGGAAAGGCACGGCGGAAATGCTTGGGCATTTTTGAAGATTTGCGCTCGTTTGAGGCCTACCGATTACGTCGGAAATCGAAGTTAGGCCTATAGGAGGTACCCGAGTTTGGGTTTGAATGTCAAACATCCGAAAGAATACAGGAGTAAAATAAATTTGAATTAATCAAACTTACAAACACTGTGGTGTGTCGTACGAATTAGACACCGCAGTGCTTATTTGATTAATTCAAACTTAAAGCACTGCGGTGTGTCATACGAATTAGACAAACCTTAACTCAATTAAAACATTTCATTTATCAAATCAAATTATTATATATTAACCATGGGATGGGATTCCTGCTCGGCACGTGTCCCAACTAAAGTCCTCGTCCCACCCACTCCGCCCAACCCCAAAAAGTGATCCACTTAAATTCGTTAACATCATTAATCTTAATTATCCCAGGGATCTAGATCATACTTCATAAAAACGTTGTGTATTTTATTTTATGTTGTGACTCGCCAATGACTGACAATTTGATTAAGTGCAATACATTTTCTTGCGCTTAACAGTAAGACAAGAAGACCAGAAAAAAAATGTTTGAAACGAGAATAAAGCAGTTGTTAAAAATGTAAACATTTCAATAGTTTCAGTTTTTATTTTCAGTTTAATTTATTTCCAGATAACAAATTACGTGGAGGCGGCTAAATAAGTTCTTGTATAAATCATACATAACTTTAAGAGCCCCCCTAAAAATACTGAAAACATATACAAAATTCACATTACAAAATAAAATTATAATAATAAATTAAGATTTAACAAATTCCTTTAAAAAGGAAAAAGTTTAATAAGTTTAATATATAGGGCCTAATTGGGCCTACAATCCAGGAGGAATATATAAATCATCAAAGAAAGCATAGGCCTACTGTTCGAATAAAGGACATGATGTACATCATGCAGCCATGGTGTAACAATGAATGTTGTCCTATAAATAAATACATTGTGTTAAAAAACGACGGGATTCAAACCTGCTACCACTCGCTGTCAATGCCAATTTCGCAGATCTGTTTCGA